TATACTGTCCAATATCTCCTTTCATCCACTTTTCCATTGCCCATTCCCCCAGGGAGGGGGTTACATGTAGATCACTGTGATTGGTTCCCCTTTGCTCCCTGTGGTAGTTATATAATTGTTTGTCAGTTTGAGGATTAAGAGTTTAGGGGTGGAGTCCAGGCTGTTAATTGGGATATGGCCAATGAGACGTCTGTGTGGGCATGGCTTCTCCTAAGAATTCTGGATAATCTGGTCCTTCCTTCTTGGAGGCGGAAGACACCTCTCTCTCTCTGCTACTCCCTGGGAGACATTGCAGAAGACAAGTCACATGGACGCAACCAGGCCTCGGAATCCGGAGAGGCCACAGAGAGACCCCTGCCAGCGCTGAGATGCTTACAGCACCAATGGGCCCAAAGACTTTCTACCCACTGGCTCATGATCGTCCTGCATTTGACTTCATTGCATGTGTTTCGTGAGTCTCAAGAGGACTTTATAGATTAGTATCAGACATATGGGCTAATATCAGACTTATGGACTTGATCTGGACTGGGCTGGGATGTTTTCTTCGTGTTTAATTCCTCTTGTATATAGACCTCTTTCTTACACACATATGTGTGTCCATGGATTTGTTTCTCTAGTCTACCCAGACTGACACAGACATATTTCCCCCTAAGTCATTTTATAGGTTTAATGAAGTCTTGACTAAAATCCCACTTTTCTTCTTTGTGGGGTTTACGAAAATTAGCTGAATGTTCTTGGTAAGAATAAGTCATTTGAAATTAAGACAAATTCGAAGTAGAGTAGTAATAAGAATAGAAATAAAAGACCTTCACTTAACAGATATCATGGTGGCTTGCAAGTACTCACAGTCCTTTGAGGGAGGGCACTTCAAAAACCTCTGTGGAGAAATGGAATTAAAAGTCAATGGAATTTCCCCCACGAACTTTTAAAATCGCCGTGTCGTTTTCAGAACTGCCTAGGTGAGGGAGTGGACGTTGAGTGGACATTGAGTCGCTAGCACTGGCCCTCCAGGCCTGCAGGGCGGGCTGCTCCAGACACTGTTTTGAAGGCTGTGACCTTTGGAAACAGAAGGCGAAGCCTCTCTTCTGAGGTGCTCTGTGGGTGGGTTTGAACAGAATTGCGAACCTTTTTTTGCTGTGGGGTGCTGAATCCTCTGTGCCACCACCCTGACTACCTGTCCTCCTAGACATGGTAAAGAGAACAGAACCAACCAACCAAACCTGTTGCCATTGAGTGGATTCTGCCGTTGAGTGGATTCTGCCGTTGAGTGGATTCAGACCTGTTACCATTGAGTGGATTCTGCCCAGAGCTGAGGGCTGTATCTTTCGCCCTTTGAGTGGTGAAGGCACTCAAAGTGCTCTCTGGGTTGGCGGTCAAGTGCTTGCCCACTGTGCCACCGGGGCCCCTTCCTAGTTTCCATTGCCATAGAGTCGATTTTGATTCTTAGCCACCCCGTAGGACACCTGGAACTGCTCTGTGGGTTTCTGAGCCTGGAACTCTTGACGGGAGGAGAAAGCCTAGACTGGCTCCCGTGGATGGCCTGGGGCGGCCTGATGAGTGACACACTACTTGGCCAGGGCTGCTTCTTTTCCCGTCTAGTACCTGGCATATCCTAAACTCACTGCCGTCCAGTGGGTTCCAATTCATAGGGCCCCTATGGAATAGGGTAGAACGGCATCCGAGTGGGTTTCTGAGAGTGTAACTCTTGGGGGGATAGAAATCCTGGTCTTTCCCCTTGGATCTGCTGGTGGTTTTGAACTGTTGACCTTGAGGTTAACAGCCTGATACATAACCACTACACGACCAAGGGTCCTGACTGGTATACAATAAATGGCCTACAATGAAGACCACTCTGACAGCTACTTCCTGCTACTTCTTCAGGGTTCTTTGCTATCCTCTGAGAACCCAGGAGGGAGTTAAATGTTAAATCAACTCCGACAACAATCCACTGTGCACCCTCAAGTTTGTACCTATTTGGTGCTGGTGATTTCCAGGAACCTTTTCTATCTCTCACCGCATCCAAAACAATGCTGGGTTGGACCTCATGTGGCCACAAGAAGACAGGCTTATCTGAAGAATGAAGGCCAATCCGCTGTTCCAATAGAGTTGACCATTAAGCCTGGAATTAGGAAGCGTTTAGTTTCTTTGACTACCCACCCACAAACCTCTGGTCTGCTGTGTGACTCTCTCATTCTCCCCACGTGGGTTCTGACAGCTTCCAAAGATGGAGCAAACACCGAGCCCTAAGCTGAAGCAGTGGGATTGGTGCTGGAAGATGAATTCCCCACTCTAAGCACCCTGTTGCCCCCAAAGGTGTGCTTAGATGTCCTTGTAGACGCCGAAGGTCAGAAAGACATTACTTTGGAGCACCAGCCCCCTATTCCGCGCCTCTCCCCCGAGAGGGATATTCCAGCACCTCTGACTGGGGGGCAGGCTCCCGAGCTTGCTCGCCTGTGTGGCTCTGGGGTGCGTTCTTGTTTGAGTTCGCACCTCTTGTCAATCTGAATATGTGTTTGGAGTCGCATATGCCGGCCTCTAATTTACAATTTACATGGATGATGGGGCCCCGTTCTATGTCCTGTTCCCTCCACCTCTGTGTCATTAGGCTGCACAGCATGTAATCAGGTAACCCTTGTAAGGCGTAGATTTCTGAACCGTTGTGGTGCTTTTTCACACAGTGAGGGTTTCCAGTTTTCCCCTCATTCTTTTCTCAGCAAAAAGATGTCTCCCCCTATGGGTCTCATATGAGTGGAGTCCCATTAGGAACAGCCTGAAGGTGGCTCATAATTTTGGTTTCTTTTCACCTGCGAGCCAGTTTTTGTTTCACACAGCCTGTGTTTAACTCCGTGTAGGCTCAGGTTGATTGGCCAACATTTGCGGATGAGTGCCTTCCTTTTTTGAAACCAGTGACATTGGCCTGTTTCAATGCTTCAAGGTTTCAAATTTGCCCAAGAAGAGAACTCAGGTCTTCAGCTCATTTTTAAGTTTCTTTTGCTACTCATGTGTGCATGACTCTCGCCGACCCGAAATTACTTTTTAAGGTAAAGCGGCTACAAATATAAATATCAACAGAGAGATGTTCTTTCTGAAATTAGACCAATTGTGTTTAAGCGATAGCTACTTGGACAGATTTGTGGTTGTAAATGTAGTTTGGAAAAGCCTGGGTGGTAAGGCAGATGTGAGCGGTTAAAAGACTAGCTGGAAGTGTATGCTGATGCTTCACTGAAAGAAAATAGTGCATCGCGTGTCTATAGGAGGAGTAACATCATCTCTTGCAGCTGATCATAGTTTTGAAAGAAGTAAGCAAGAAGAGCTACAACGTGGAAAGGAAACTAACAAGCCCTATGGGTATTATCTAGAATCGTGGTTCATAGGAGTCAACTGGGGAGGTCACTGGAATGCAGATTCTTGGGCCCTGTGCACTGAAATTATGGTATACAAGGTCAGGGATGGGCCTGAGGAAGCAAACTTTCTAATAAGTACTCTCAGGTGATACTATTACAGAAAGCTTTCATCCACATTGGAAATCCTTGTTTTCTGTAGGAGGTACTTTTCAGACAGATGTCCAATCATACGTTTCTGTGTCTGCCTTTCATGCTTTGGGAAAGAGGGAAGAAGAGCCAGTTAGCTCTTTATTTTTTCATTATGATAAAAAAAAAAATGTGACAAAGCATTCCCCAATTCAACCTGTTTTCCATGAAGAATTCAGCAAAGGAGCCTTGGTAGCAGAGCAGTTCAGCATAAGGTCAGGTCAGACCCACCATGGCCCCACAGGAAGACGTGTGGTCATCTATTTCCATAAAGAATGACAGCCTTGAGGACTCTTGGGCAGTTCTGTTCCATGCCATAGCGTCTCTGTGAGTTGCAGTAGACTTGACGACAATTAGTTTAAAAAAAAAAATTAAAATAATTCAGTGACATTGATTATATTCATCGTGTGGTGAAGCCAGGTTTTTAAAAAGACCTTTCCCAAATACCTTATTTCATAAATTTAATAAAATACAACGTAAAGAACAAGTTGGCCAAGCCTAGCGATATTGCCAGATGAACTTGCCTGTGAAAAGTACTAGCTAGCTATTGCTTCAGCCGTGACTGAGGTCCAGCAGTAGAGAAATGGAGAGACTGGTGGGCTGTGGACCACTGGATGTTCCATTGGTTGGCTTCTAGTCTCTCCTCCCCCTTTGCCACTCCGTTCCATCTAAGTGACCACTGGGATCTGAAGGACATTTGGCAAAACGTGTGTATATTTTGTCTTATTTCTACTTGCTGTGCTTTCAGAGGAAGAATGCTCCTTAATGTAATTTGTTATTGTTATTGTTTTGCTGCGGCTGGTTGGGGGTGGTGGGGTGGTGGAGAATAAAGTCCTTCTATTGGGGTCTATTAGGTGATAAAGCTATCAGTACCCATGACTAGGCCTCCAGACATGGACATTTGAAAGGTCCAATTGGAACAAGGAGAAAGGTGTGGCTGAGAGGGTGAGAGACGGAGTGGAGTCGTTATCTGTTTTTTTGCACTAAGGGCCGACCTTTCACTGAGCGTGGAGAAGATGTGGTTGACAAAGTTGACAGAGGTGAAGTCCATGCTGAAGGTGTTCTGTATTTTACACACACACACATGCACACACACACACACACACACACACACACACTGCAGGTGTATGAAGATTGTATAGGTAAAAGCCTTTATCATTGGTTTTGTGCTGAAGTCTTGGTCTTATGGTGTATAAATTCAGTTCAAATGTAATAATGTTGTTAAATCCTAGGCATAGTACAGAGTTAACATGTAATCAAATAATGTGTGTGTGTGCGTGTATATATAAACTTTAAAAAACAATAGCTTAAGGTCAGTGTGTTCTCGCATGAATGATCGTGTATAGGATAAATAATTTCATGAATGTTAAGGTCATTAGCTCTTTGGAATTGCTAATTTCTGTTTGTTTTTCTTCTTCTTCCTAAAATCAAAACTGTCTCTTGGAACAGATTTCTTATCGAAAAGATGTGCAGGACACTCATGTGTATACGGCAGAACCTGACCGACCAGATATCAGGATGGCAACCCAGATATCCAAGATCATAAGCAATGTAATTTCTTTTTCCTATTCTTGAAGAGAAAGGATTTCTTACTTTCTTTTTTTTTCAGTCAGACGGTTATTTTAATTAAGACGGTTAACTAATGTGAGGCAATGAGATCTCAGTTTTTTTCTCTGAAATGTCCGTTTGGCTCTGTCACTTATACATGTAGACCTTGCCCAAACTCAGTTTGACTGTGGTCAGCGTTGTACTTTTCGAGAAGGAAGCCCAACTCAGGGATAAGGACATCGCCGTGGCTGTCCGCCATCTGGCCTCCTGTCACCTCCCACTTCACCTGTCCCAGAGAACTACCCTGGCTTCCCGCTTGCTGCCATCAATCTGACCGATTCTCTTTCACCGACCCTTACCCTACGCCATACCCTCCAAGTCCAGCTCACGCTAGTCTTCTCCAGGGCACCCTGGCTAGTTGAGACGGCATCACTGAAACATAAAGGAGGCTGTTGTTGCAACTCTCAAGTGTGTGGTTCCCAACGGAAAGATCAGGGGTCTGAATGCCGGCGACCTTACTGATCCGCTTTAACCATTCGGCTGTCTGATTGAAAAGCTGTGCAGGACACTCGTGTGTATAGTGTGGAACTTGATGGACCAGGTATCAAGATGGCCTAAAAAACCCTGTGGGGTAATTTCTACTCTGCTTAACTCTAGCTACATCGTGAGGTCATTGTAAGTCGAACTAGACTTGCCTAATTTAAACCTGGTAAAATGAAGCTCTGATTTGTGCCAAAAGGTTGAATCATATAGGCTAAACTCATCTTACAGAATGTTATTTAACTAAATTCAACTGCAGATTAACCAGACATGGTCTGATCAGTTCCTGAGAATAAACAAAGCCATGACAGCTATTTTTATGCTGTGTGTTAACCACCCAGACACTTCCCATTACGCCCCCCAACCCTCTAATGCAGCAGTTCTCAGCCTGTGGGTCGCAACCCCTTTGGGGGTCGAATGACCCTTTCACATGGGTCGCTCGATTCATAACTGTAGCAAAATGACAGTGATGAAGTAGCAACAAAAATAGTGTTATGGTGGGGGGGGCGGTGTCACCAAAACATGAGGAACTGTATGAAAGGGTCATGGCATTAGGAAGGTTAAGAACCACTGCTCTAATGTTTATAATATGTATATAAGAATGACATTGACTGGGTGCACTAATACACTTAGTAATCGATTTATTACAAACATTTTAATTCTTTAAAATAACTATACTATAAGTCCGGCTTTTAGTAGTGGGTGTTTGTTTAGCCATTGTCGAATTGTGAGGAAGATCCGTGGGGCAAGGGTGTGGTGAAGGTCTACTATGATTGATATTAGCTAATGTCAATACAATTTTTCATTGGAAAGCAGGAATAGTCAACATTTTTAAAATTTATTCATTTTAGGCAGAGTACAAGAAAGGACAAGGAGAAATGAATAAAGAGCCTGCTGTAATTGGAAGACCGGACTTTGAACATGCTGTAGAAGCTTCGAAGCTTTCTAGTCAAGTAAGATACGTAATGACTTCCTTCAGAGATTTTGACCCTAGAAGCGTAGGAACATACTGCATTTTAGGTAATATCTTCAATTGTAAAAATTCAGAGATACTATTAATGAAACCATTACAGACAGGATTGCGCTACTTACAAATCTCAGTAAAGGAAAACGAAGTCTAATCTTAAGCATAAAACAAAGTTTTCTTTTCTCCAGTCCCAAATCTTGAGCTTTTCCATGAATTTAGCCATGTTGTCACTTTAAACAGGATTTCTAAAATTCAGCAACAGTCATACCAAGTAATGACACTTCTGTGACTTATTCCCCACTTTCCACCCCGCCACCCACCACACACATTAATACATGCATACAGGCAGTTTTAAACTCTGTAATAAACATATTAATTTCCCTAAGTTTTAAATAGTTATCTCAAAATAAGGGGGAGGGGTGATATAACACTTGAAAATAGTATCAGGAATGTAAAGCAAAGTCTGAAAAGAAAATGTAAAGACTTGCTGTGTTTTTGTTTAAGAGTTCCGTGGAGTAAACATTTTAATTATCTCAAAATTGATACATTAGTGGCATACGATTTCAATTAGAATCCAAGAGATTTTTGGGGTGTGGGGTGGGGGTAGAAAGAGTGTGCGTGTGTGTGTGTGTGTGTTTTAATATGATCTTAAGGTTTGTATGTGTAGGAAATGCCTAAGAATAATCTTTAAGAGTAGGAAGATGAAAACCAGTCAAGAGAACTTAAGATACAAATAACTACGACGTAATAGAAAACCGCTGTAACGAAATCAGTATGGAATTGGTATCAAATGAGAGATAAAATGACCAGGAGGATAGAAGACAGACTCTCGAAATTGATTCCAATATACATAAGAATTTAATAAATGCTAAAAGTGTTTGTTCAAATCACTGGGAAAGGGTTGGATTATTTAATAAATGGTGCTGACATAACTGGCCATCCATCAGGACAAAAACAAAATTGGACCCAAATCTTAAACCTTATAAAAAAAATGAATCCCAGATGGATTAAAGACTTGACTATAAGCAATAAAATAATTTTTAAATCTTAAAAGAAAATCCAGGAGACTATATACAATACTATACAAGGATGGCCGAGCTTTTCTTAAGCAAGACCAGAAACCAGGAAGCTATAAAAGAATAGTTATGCATATTTGACTATATAAAAATTAGAAACTCTTTCAATGGGAAAAAGATAACATTTATAAAGTCAATGAAAAGGAGATCAAACAATAATTCTTACGTACTAATGGTGTTTTCACCCTCGAAGCTATCCATTCCTGAAGTTACCAAAGTTCAGTGAATTACATTTTAAAATAGGCAGAAGTAAGTGATAAAAACTTGAAAATCTTACTGAGGAACATAAAATGCGACCTGAACACATGAAAAGACAAGACAAGGCTCTTGGCTGAGGGGCCTTACTATCATAAAAATATTAAATTTTCCAAGATGAACTTTTCAAAACCCCATGCATTTTCTATTAGACTCCAAATAGGCTTCTAAGAATTGAAAGAGGATGAATGTTTTGAAGAAACTAAAATGTAAACAAAAAGGAAGTGCCCAATATAGTTTTAAAAAGCACTAAGAGAGAAAATGCTTTCACTGGTCTTTAGCTCATGTGGGAAATGTTCCGTAGTGCATGTGATGAAATGGCCGGAATAAGATGCAAGAGCTTTACAGCTGGCAAGGAAAAGGAGAGGTTGGGCAAAGGAGGTGAACTGATGATTTCCAGAAGAGCGCGTCTTAAGTCGCCAGCAAACACAGGCGAGCCTCAAATCCACTAGTAGGAAGGGAAGTGGAGATAAAGGGAAAATAGGGTCTCCTCTGCTCCCGTCACATTTGGGGTCCTGTTAGTGTGGGAAGAGAGGGAAGCCAGGGCGGGTTGTGTCGTGAGAAAAGGTTTGCATTGGAGGTATGCTTGAGCTTCTAGCTTGGATTTAGAGGGAGTGGAGACGCTGCTCCGGGGGAAGATGCTGACTAAAGTCTGGGAACTTGGAGGAGAGAGGAGGGAGAGAGGTCAGACAGCAGGATCTCCTGTGCCCAGTGAGAAATGGACCATAAAGGCAAACAGGATACTTGGGGGTTTAGATGTTGTGCTCTCATGAATGGGTCAATGTGATACTACTTTTGGCCCTTGCTTTGAGAGCCAAGTAGGAATAATGTGTCCAAGGTTATAAGTCTTTATGGAAACAGAGAGCCTCCTCCCTCTCCCCTAGAGAGCTAGTGGATTGAAAGCCCCCACCTTTTGGTTAGCACCCACTCACTCACTCCTGTCATCGAATGGATCCTGACTCTCAGCCACCCTTATGGGGCAGGGTAGAACTGTACCCGTGTGTTTCCAAGACAGGAGCTAAGTACAGGAGTAGAAAGCCCCGTCTTTATTCCATGGAGCAGTGGGTGGTTTCGAACTGGTAACCACTGCCAGGGCTTCTTTCTCCCATCTTGGTAACCCATAATAAACTCAGGTCTCTCTATATTCATGTACCTCTTTCCCTTAAGTAGGCTCATATGTGTGTCCCATCTTCCTGAAAGGACAAGTGGTATGTGGTCCCACTGACAGGAAACATCTAGAGCAGGTCAGTATGAAGAGACCAGAGTTTCCTCAGGGGCTGCTGGGGGTGAGAGGAAGTTGGAAAGGAGTCCCTGTGTTAGGGACACTGTTTCTGTTAAGGATGATGGGAAATGGATAATGACGGTGAATGAAGAGCAAGGAGGATATTGTGTTAGTCTGGGTACCTTAGGAGAAACAAATCCACAGAAACTCCTATGTATAAGAGAGAGTTTTATATAAAGGTTAAGTGCACATCAAGAAAACATCCCAACCCAGTGCTGCCCAAGCCCACAAGTCCAACACTAGCTCATATGCCCAACACCAATCCACAAAGTCCTGCTCCATCTCACAAAACACACACAATGATGCTGACTGCAGGAGGAAAGCCAAGTCAGTGAGCGTGTAAGCATCTCACCGCTGGCAGGGATCTCCATACGGGTGCTCCAGCACCCAGGGCTGCCTTGGGGTAGACCCATGCAGCTTCTTCTTGGGGATGTGTTGCAGGAAGTGAGCCTTGCAAGCTGAAGCAGGGAACTGGCTAAGGCAACTGCACCCTGGTCTGACCGTCAGAAAGCAGGGGACCTGAGAGCTAGAAAGGCAAGGCTCACTGAGCCATTGATCCCTCCGCCCTTTAATTAATCCCACATGTGTTTATCGGCCAGGTTGGCCCAATAAATTAACTACCTCAGATATGATTAATGTCACTGAATTGGACATGTACATGAGAGTTTTCTAGTCTACATTGAAGATGCGCACATGATAAGGATGGAGCAGAAGCAGTCACATTGGCCCTTAGATTCACCTATCACAATTCTAGGTGGGAAGCCGTAGATGTTTCTTTTTGTTTTTTATCAATTTTTTTTCACCACCAGGCCTTCATTTTGGTATTTGACTGACAATCCTCTCCCTCTCACCCACCCTCCTTCTCTTCCTCCCACCCTCTAACCCCCCTCCCACTTTCTCCTCCTCCTTCTCCTCTATCTCTATCTATCTCCAAGTCAGCCACTAAAACCCTACATGAGATTTTGGGCAGCAATTTGCTTCTCTGTAACTGACTGATCAGATGTTCAAGCAGATTGTACTTTTCACACTACACTCCATTGAAATCTATATTTTAATGGCACACTTCCGGATCTCACAATGCAGAAACGCCTTAGAAACCAGGAAGACTGGGCTGATGAATGACTAGGGCTTCCGGGTTGAGCTTGGTATGCTCCCTGTTTGTTTTCAGGTGTACTAACTGGAAGCCAGGACAGAAACTGTCCTGTTTGAATTTTCCATTGACGGCTTTGAAGAACATGTTTTGTCTTGCGCCGCATGCAGTGACAGATTGTGAGTGCATGCCCCCTCCAAGGCAGATCCGATCATGGGAGGAAAATGACTTGGGATTCCACAGCTGCACACTGGGTGCCTGGGGCACAGGGCCAGACAGCACGAGGGGCCTGTGAGAGAGCAGGCAGTGACAAGGCAGTGGACGTGGCATGAAGGGTTAAGATGGACTTGGCAAAAGATGGGGGGGGGGCAAGGGAGTGGGCTCCCAGAATGCTCGCGTTTTACCTGTAAACTGAGGTCAGTGGGACTGCAAAGGTAGTGGAGTCACAGGCCAAACCCTTCTTACCTTAAACTCTGTAATAGTTTTTGTTCCCTTAGTTGCCACTCCCCCCCCCCCATTTTTTGGATGTGCATAGTATTATAGTTAGAAAATTTAAAAAATTTTGGAGGTACATAATATTATAGTTAGATGATTTAAAAATTTAAATACAACATAAAAATAAAATCGTCCTGTGCTGAGTTGGAGATTAGTAGATTTAATAGTGTTAAGTACAGTGACTGGTGGGATCATCAGCTGAAGAGACTCTCACAAGAGTGGCGAATTGGCTAATGTATGCATCTATCATCCTGATGTATTGGAGGGAGTCTGCTTATATTTGTGATGACTAGAATTATTTGTTTAGTTTTATAATACTGAGAGAAACTGAAGTGTTTATAATAATTCATATTTTCCCCTAAAATTTCATTTGCTGTGTTGATAAGAATTCATTTTAAACTTAAAAAACTACATTCAAATTGCCGTGAAGATTAATCATAAACGTTGTCCTTATATTGTGAGGAGTATTAATTGGTTTGGACAATCTCCCATTCTCCTTTCTTGGCAAACACTCGTACCAGCCTCCTCAGGCCCAAATATCAGCTTAAATATCATGTCCTTGAATTGTCTATTTCAATCCTGTCTCTTTTCTCCCTGCTCTCTGTAATCTCAGTTCTTATCCTTCGATATAATTCACAGAGCTTATTGTCAGATACAAGCACGTGTGTCTTCACATCTAGTTTACTTCCTCCACGGAAAACCTCACGGGGGTAGGGCTTAGGTGTGCCTAATCTTCGTGGAATGGCAGAGGTTAGGCCTTCACCAAATTCTATCATCTATCTATATCTAGCCATCTATCCATCCACCTATTTCTATGATCTATCTATCTAATCTATCGATCTCTCTTTCTATCCATCTACCTATCTATTTCTATGATCTATCTAATCTATCATCTACCTACCTACCTACCTACCTACCTACCTACCTACCTACCTACCTACCTACCTATCTGCCTACCAAATCCTGCATCATCCTCACAGTTGCTGCTGTGTTTGAGTCCGTTGTTGGTGTCAGTCCATCGTGTTGAGCATCTTCCTCTTTTTCTTTTCTTTTTTTAATCATTTTATTAGGGGTTCATACAACTCTTATCACAATCCATACATACATCAATTGTGTCAAGCACATTTGTACATTCATTGCCCTCATCATTCTCAAAATATTTGCTCTCCACCTAAGCCCCTGGCATCAGCTCCTCATTTTTCCCCTCCCTCCCTGCTTGCCCTCCCTCATGAGCCCTTGATAATTTATAAATTATTATTTTGTCATATCTTGCCCTGTCCGATGTCTCCCTTCACCCACTTTTCTGTTGTCCGTCCCCCAGGGAGGAGGTCACATGTAGATCCTTGTAATCGGTTTCCCCTTTCTAACCCACTCTCCCTCTACACTCCCAGTATCGCCACTCACACCACTGGTCCTGTAGGGATCATCTGCCCTGGATTCCCAGTGTTTCCAGTTCCTATCTGTACCAGTGTACATCCTCTGGTCTAGCCAGGCTTGCAAGGTAGAATTCGGATCATGGTGGGGGTGGAGGGGAGGAAGCATTTAGGAACTAGAGGAAAGTTGTATTTTTCATCATTGCTACATCACACCCTGACTGGCTCGTCTGCTCCCTGAGACCCTTCTGCAAGGGGATCTCCAGTGGCCTACAAATGGGCTTTGGGTCTCCACTCTGCATTCCCCGCTTATTCACTATGGTAAGATTTTTTTGTTCTGATGGTGCCTTATACCTGATTCCTTCGACACCTCGTGATTGCACAGGTTGGTGTGTTTCTTCCATGTGGACTTTGTTGCTTCTGAGCTAGACGGCTGCTTGTTTACCTTCAAGCTTTTAAGACCCCAGATGCTATATCTTTTGATAGCCGGGCACCGTCAGCTTTCTTCACCACATTTGCTTATTCACCCGCTTTGTCTTCAGTGATTGTGTCGGGAAGGTGAACATCAAAGAAGAGCATCTTCCTCTTTTTCCTTGACTGTCCAGTTTAACAAGCACGATGTCCTGAGATGAAATCCCCTTCAAAGGAGCATTGTGGTCGTACTTCATCCAAAACAGATTTGCTCTTTTTCCTGGCACTCCGTGCCAGGGGCATTCTTCTTCACAACACCATCCATCAGTGCATCAGCCCTTCGTTGGTCTTTCTGTCCACGGCCCAGCTTCCCCATGCAGAGGCGTCGATTGTAAATACCACTACTGAGTGTTCACGGTGACGTGAAGAGACGTATTAAACAACTTTTCTATGAATCGTTGTTTAATATTTGGTGCAGTCGCTACGGTGGTATTTTGTTGTAAATATAAAGGCAAAGATACTTTCCTGTGTATAAGTTTTAAGTTCAAAAATACGGCAGGAAATTATAGCCAGGCCCCAGCTTATTAAGCTACAAACCAACCCCCACAAAGCCTATTCTATTAAAAATTTGAGGTACACCCATGTACCGTGGCTCATAATAACAGACAGATGCTATTTTGAGGTATGCATAAGATACATGATTCCTATATTATATGAAAGACAGAGTCCTAGTGGCTTAGTGGTTACACATTGGGCTGCAATCCAAAAGGTCAGCAGTTCAAAACCAGCAGCTGCTCCACAGGAGAAAGATGCGGCTTTCTGTGCCTATAAACAAGCGGTTCTCAACCTGTAGGTCATGACCGAACGACCCTTTCACAGAATGCTCACATTTTACCTGTAATCAGGGGTCGTCCAATTCATTACAGGGGTCACCTGATTCATCACAGTAGCAAAATGACAGTGATGAAGTAGCAACAAAAATAATTTTATGGTTGGGGGCTCACCACCACATGAAGAACTGTATGAAAGGGTCGTGGCATTAGGAGGGTTGAGAACCACTGCTGTAAACCGTTAACAGGCTCAGAAACCCTCGGGGGCAGTTCTAACCTGTCCCACAGGGTCACTGTGAGTCGCCATAGACCCAGTGGCAATGAGGGACATTAAGGAAGTGTTTCTTTAATGGTTAGGGTGCATCATAAGGTGAACAATACTCTAGGAGCAGCGTCCGCCTCACTGAGGTTGGATAGGAGGCAGCCATTCCTGCCTGTTCTGAGTTAGGTACAGATTCTACTTTAAGACCGATTCAGGCTGGAACCGATTACAGGGATCTACCTACATACCACCTCCTCCCTGGGGGATGGACAACAGAAAAGTGGGTGAAAGGAGATGTCGGACAGTGTAAGATATGACATAATAATCATTTATAAATTATCAAGTGTTCATCAGGGAGGGGGGAACAGGGAGGGATGGGGACAAATGAGGAGCTGATGCCAGGGGCTTATGTGGAGAGCAAATGTTTTGAGAATGATGAGGGCAATGAATCTACAAATGTGCTTTACACAATTGATGTATGTATGGATTGTGATAAGAATTGTGTGAGTCCCCAATAAAATGATTTTTTTAAAAAAGACCGATTCAGCAATGGACTTTGTCTATAGTCGGAAGACTGCCTGAATTCTAAGTGAATGAAAAAAATCTGTTTATAATATCTTTCTTGATAACTTCTAGTTCAATTCCTCCAAGATTGAAGGGAATTGATGCCTAGAGATATGTTATTTGGTGCTATTTTTAAAACGTTACCTTTTCACTCATAATTAAGGGACCGTGGCACATTCCCCCAACACTTGTGTAAGCGGCGCTGGTGGACCGTCTTAGTTCAGGATCCATGTTTAACTGTGTTTTTTGGTTTTGATTTTTTGCCACCATCTTTACCTTTGATGATTCTCCATCTATACTTGGGGGTAAATTTCCTCCAGAAAGGAGGACTTCATGTATAAATAGACCCAACAAAATATGGGGGTAACTTAGAAATTTGGCAGCAGGAAGAATATATGCCATTGATAGATGATATTTATTTTATAAACCCTAGTTACAAATTAGGATGAAGAACGTTGTCTCTGTGGACTGTGTTACGGTAAAATCTACCTAGCTGCCTTTACTTAGCATAAAGAGAAAACCCCTAAATGTGGTAGACACTAAGAGATCTGTGGTCTCCATTTCCATTTGATCATAGATTATAGGAATGAAGAAATGAACTGACATTTAAGAATCCCGATATTCTAGGACGTAGTTCTTTTTAATGGGACTTGGGCTCATGCCTAATTACATCTATGATCAATGTTCAAGTAGAATTTTTTTTAATGTTTATGCCCAATTAAGCACTATAGGGGGAAAATACCAAGCATTTAAACTGTGCTGCTATTTCATTTTTAAGGTGGCTTTCATTTGATCGAATTAAAATTCAAATGGGTTGCTTTTAAAGCTTAAAGATAAATGTGCTATTAAAGTTATCCTATTTTTTTTTTAAATGACAGATTAAATACAGAGAGAAGTTTGGTCATGAAATGAAGGCTAAGAAACATCGCTACAACCCCCTGGAAAGTGCTTCTTTTAGGCAGAGTCAGCTCGCTACCACACTAGCCAGCAACGTAAGTGATCTTGTCTTCTGGTAGAAAAGTAGTTCCAGTTTCTTTTGATGCTTGTTTTTCCCAGGAGGGGGCTTTGCCATGACTGGTAGTAAATCAAGATTCAAAAGGAGTTCTGGTTGTGCAGTGATGAAGAGCTCGGCTGCTAAGCAGAAGGTTGGCCGTTCAAACCCACGAGCTGCTCGATGGGAGAAAGACGGGCAGTCTCCTTCCAGCCTGGTACCCAGCCGTGGAGACCTTCAGGGGCAGCTTTGCTCTCTGCCCTACAGGGTCGTTATGAATGGAAATTGAGTTCACGGCAACAGCTTTTTTCTTTTT